GGTGTCGTCGATGTCGGACGCGTACGGCGGTGCGGCGTCGCGCTCGGCGTCGCCCGTGGTGGAAAAGGGGAACACGCCGCTGCCGCCGCGGGCCAACCCGTTTGCGGCGTCCAACGGCGGTGCGGGCGGGCCCAAGGCGAACCCGTTTGCGCGAACCAAGGCGGCGACGGCGAGCAGCCGGGACGCGTCCAAGACGATGTCCAAGTCGACGTCGTTTTTCGAGCGCGTCGACGCGCACTCGAGCGCGGCGGCGACGGGGGCCGGAGGAGCGGGCGAGAAGAAGGCCAAGCAGGCGAGGCTCAACTTTGGGGCTGGCCACCGCGGCGTGGGCTCAGAGGGCAAAGGTAAGGGCAAGGCGCGCGAGGCGTTTGGCGAGACGCAGTACGACGACGACGAGAGCAGCGCCGGTGGCGCGGGGGGCGAGGAGAGCCTGATTGCGACGCTGCAAAAGGCCAGAGAGGACGAGGATGCGCTGCGGAGGCGCGGCGGGCTGGAAGAGACGATGCGGCCGGACGCCGATGTCGACGACGACGACGAGTCGATGGTGCCGCGCGACCGGGGCATCGACGCCGTCGAGACCGAGAGCCTGGCCGTCTAGCGGGTGCGAAGGGGACGTAGCAGACCCCCCACGCTCTGACCTGTCCCTGTCGCTGTGGATCAGTAGTAGTTGTGTCTTTCGGTTGTTCGTACAGCGCACCATGTGCGCGCCACCGAGTCAATCCGCCCTGTACCGGGACCATGTCAGGCAGAGTGCGGAGAGAGGTCGAGCTGGGAGGCGCCATCTGTCGTTGCTGTTCGGAGCCGATTCAGGCTCCACTTTGAGCGCCGTCGAGAAAAAAGTGATTTTTCGCCAGACGCCGACAGCAGGCAGGCCGGAAATTTCGCAGCGCCGCGCCGCGCCCGCAAGAAGAAAGCAGCCAGGGGCCCAAAGCAGGCAGGGCTGGGCAGACGAGGTGGAGCAACCCTTGCGGGTTCACCCACCTCGACACCACCACCAACATCATCGCTACTACCACCACCGACAACGCACAAGATGGCCAAACGAGTAAGTAGACGCAGTTCATCCTCGTATTGTTGGATACACGGCCCTCTTTGTTCGGTCAAGCTGACTTTCCACGACGACTCGTCCCCCTGCACCGCAGAGGAGAAAGACCCGCACCCACCTCAAGGACCCCAACCTGGGCCAGGACGCCACCACCGCCAGCGCACCAAAGAGCTTCATCATCAAGAGCGGAAATGTCGGTCGCTCCGTCAGCACACTCGTCCAGGATACCCGCAAGGTTATGGAACCCAACACCGCCTCCAAGCTCAGGGTGCGTCCTCGCGGCGCTGCCGTCCTTGCGTCTTGCCGCGCGCGCTCCTCGACTGACCCCTCCCCCGCACGCCTCTTTCCCCATTCCCTTTCCATCTCACCCCGCCTTGTGCGTCACGCCACGCCCCCGCAGGAGCGCAAGTCGAACCGCCTGCGCGACTTCCTCACCATGGCCGGTCCGCTCGGCGTGACGCACATGATGATCTTTGGCCAGACCGACGCCGGCACCAACCTGCGCATCGCCCGCTGCCCGCGCGGCCCCACGGTCACGTTCCGCGTCAACAAGTACGCCCTCGCCAAGGACGTACAGGCCTCGTCGCGCCGCCCAAAGCCCCCCAGCGCCAGCGATTTCCTCACCCCGCCTCTCCTCGTCCTCAACAACTTTGGCAGCCAGGAGAGGCACGTAAAGCTCCTCGTCGCCACCTTCCAGAACCTCTTTCCGCCCATCCAGGTGCACTCGGTGAGTAAGGGCCGGCGGTGGCAGTCGGCAGTCGGCAGTCGGCAGCCGTGGTCGCCTTGCTGATCCTCTCGTATTGGACCCTCGCTCTCGCCCCCCTCTTTCGACCTCGCCCCCCCTCCCCACCCCGCAGATGAAGCTGAGTCAGGCACGGAGGATTGTGCTGCTCAACTACAACGAGGCGACGCGCACCATCGACTGGCGCCACTACCTCATCTCGGTGCGGCCCGTGGGCGTGTCCAAGGCGGTGCGCCGCGTGATTGAAGGCACGACGCGCGCCTCTGCCGCCTCGCAGGGCTCGGTGTCGTCGAAGCGCAAGGGCCGGTCCCTGGTCAACCTGGCCGACGCCTCGGACATTGCCGACTACGTGCTGGGACGCACCGGCGGCTCGTCTGCGTCGAGCGACGCCGGCGGCGGCGGGTTCGAGACGGACGCGTCCGAGGCCGAGTCCGAGGCCGAGGACATGGCCGACCCGCGGATGAAGGTGGAGCTGCACGACGACTACGTCGGGCGGGGCAACGTGGCCAACAGCCAGCGCGCGGTGCGGCTGCGCGAGATTGGGCCGCGCATGGAGCTCAAGCTGATCAAGGTCGTCGAGGGCCTCAACGAGGGCGCGGTCCTGTACCACGACTACCTGTCCAAGTCGGCCCACGAGCAGGTCGAGCAGAGCCGCGAGCTCGAGGAGCGCAGGCGTCTCCAGCGCATGCGCAGGGAGGAGCAGGAGCGCAACGTCGAGCGGAAAAAGAGGCAGAGGGACGAGGCGAAGCGCGAGGCGAGGAGGTTGCAGAGGGAGAGGGACGGGTTGCCCCCCGACGACGAGGGCGACGGCGAGGGCGAGGGCGAGGATGGAGACGGGAAGGAGCCGGAGAGCGGGGCAGAGGAGGAGGACGAGTTCGAGTACGAGGACCGATTCGCACCCGGCGCCGCCGCCGCCGTCGACGAGGAAGGAGACGAAGACGAAGACGACGACGAGATGTTTGACGAAGGCGCCTCTGACGACGAGGAGGATGACGAGGACGAGGAGGAGGAGGGGGACGACGACGACAGCGACCTGGAGCCGATCCCGCTCGGAGACGTCCAGCACGACTACGACTCGGACGACCCCTTTGAAGAGTACGACGAGGGCGGCGACGACGACGAGGAGCTCTTCCAGCAACCCTCGGCGGCGGGCAAGAAGAGGAAGGTCGGCCCTCCCCCGCCGAGGGCGAAGGCCAAGGCCGGGGGAAAGGCAAAGGCAAAGGCAAAGGCGAGAAGATGACGACGCGGTCGCTCGTCCTTCCCCTCTCCTCTCCTTGCTCCACGTTCTCCTAGACAGCCTCGCATGCCATTCCACTCATATCCCCGCGTCCGTCGTCCGATCCCGTCTGTGTCTGTGTATGTGCCTTTGTCTGTGGATCCGTTCATCGCTTCGCATCCTGCCTGCCTGCCCAGCGTTGACGGTCAGCCAGCAGCGTCTCTCCGTCCGACGGAGCGACAAAAAAAAAAAAAAAAGGAACCCAAGGGAGGAAGAAAAAAGACCTTCCGAGCTGCCAGAATCGAACTGGCGACCTACGGTGCACTTTTTCGAGGAATCTCATAGGCTTCCAACCCTTACAAACCGGCGCTCTCCCAACTGAGCTAAGCTCGGCGTCGTTGTCGAAGTGCCAGAAAGTAAAATGTATATAATATTAAGTGCTACGAGTGGCGATGCGTCGGGCTGCGGCTGGGCCGGCGGCTGCGGCTGATTCACGGTGGCGCGGGCTCGACCCTGGGGCTGACTGGACGCATCGCGCGGGCGCCTGACTGATCCGTCCGTCCGTCCGTCCGTCCGCCCGTGCTCGCCCACCTGCCTGTGTGAGCTTTTGACTGGCCGCGCTGGATGGCAGGCTAGGCTAGGATGGCCTCGCCTCGCCTTGCCTTGCCTTGCCTTGCCTTGCCTGCTTGGTCTGCCGTACGGCCAGACGACGGTGCGTTGGGTCGTCGGGCTCAAAAGGGCGGCTGGGGTGGTCGGGAAACTCTCGCCCCTACCACTCGACCACCACCGCCTCGCCTCTTGTACCGTCGAGACGACCTCCGTAGCCCATCCATCCAGCACTATTGAGCCTATCTCCACCGTCACCATCCAATCTCCAGGCAAACGACAGAGACACTGAACAGGGCGCGCGTCACCATGTCGTCGCCCCCTCCCAAGCAGCAGAGCAGCGTGCCCCCCAAGGTGAGCCTCTTCGCGGTCGCCGTCGCAAGTCGGGATCCCGAGCCGCGGTAGAAGGAAAGGGGCGCTGATGAGGTCGCGGGTTTGGATCGCGTCGCCGTCATCGTCGCTGCCGATGCAGGCGCCCGGACACGACAGCAGGCCGCTCTACTCGCGCCTCGCCAGCACCTCGAAGAGGTTCATCGGTCGCGATCCCCAGCTGGCCCCGCTCGCCTTCGTGTGAGTCACCAGCGCGACCGTGCCGTGCCGTGCCGGTGAGAAGAAACAGGGACTGTTGAGCGGGATCACGGAAACTCATCCTGCCCCCTTGTTCGTCCTCGACAACGGCCGTGCAACCTCCGGCTCTACCACCTGCGACCAACACAGGAGTGAGTATGGCTTCCTCCGCAAGCTCTCGTGTTTCTCACTCGCTGGCTGCCGCCAAACGACCCACCACTGACCGAGCCCCCGAGTCCCCCTCTCCCGTCTCCTCCATCGTTCTGACCCACAAAACACCCCGCCTCCCAACAGCCTTTGGCACAGTCGCCGTCGCCGCCTATTGGTACAGCGCCAAGGTGCGCGGCACCGTGACCGAGGACCGCATGCAAAAGTCGGGCGGCGCCGACGTGCACGCTGCGGGCGCGGCTCCCACCCAGGCCCAGAGCCTGGGCGCGGGCACCAGGTCCGACTACGCGTCGCCCAAGACGACGCCCAACGACGGCACCCTGGGTCGCAAGATCAAGGAGCTCGCCGCCGACGACCGCGCCCAGAAGAACAGGGACCAGAAGGACAGGGTGCACGAGCTGCGCGACGAAGTGGGCGCCAAGAAGGACGAGTGGAAGGACGCCGCCAAGCAGAAGATCCAGGTCAGCCGCTGAGGGGCCGCACGGGCATCGCCGGGTATCGCCGCGGACCGAAGCGACGGTCCTGGAGCGTGCCGGTGAAAACGAGGAGCGGTGTTGCAGGGGCGACGCATCGTGAAAGGAAGCCAGCGACGTGGCCGAGGGAGGGAGAGAGGCGTCGCACCGATCCGTCGGCAGACAGTGTTGTTTGTACAGGGGCAGCCCGACAGTCCGTCCATCGACCGCAGACATAGGGCCACGAAAGCCACGTCATCACCGCGTGCTTCAGATCGATTCGCGTGCCTTGGTCTCTCTCCGCGCGTAGGCGAGGGCGCGCGCCTCGTCGTTGTTCCGTGCCAGAGTCGGCGGAGGGGCGCCGAGCAGGCTCCGTGTGCGGTCGGCGGTGTGCTGGGCCAGGTCCTCTGCGCGGTCTTCGACTTTCTGCACGGCTCGAACGCCCTCTTCCTTCCAGCTCGAGAGGAGGCTATGCTGCGGCGTCGCAGGGCGGGAAGGAGGGCCGCCAAACCCGCCACGTTGCGCACCCGCTGCGGCGGCCGCGGCCGACTGCTGCCCGAGCTCGGTCGAGAGCCCCGGTACGGCACCGCGCCAGCTGGTCTGGTCGAAGTAGTGGCATCCGTGGACGCCGAGTCCGAGCGTGGCGACCGAGGTCGAGAGGGCGAGGGCGAGTGGGCTGCGCGGGAGCAGCTTGAGGGTGGGGAGGGTGCGGAAGAGGAGAAAGGTGATGGACCAGGCGCTGACGACGCCGCTGCCGTTGAGGGCGTCGCCGTGGTCGATGATGTAGCCGCCCGTGGCAAAGAGGGCGGCGAAGCCGGCCAGCTGCCAAAAGGGCGGGACGGCGCGGAGCGTCGAGGCGGCCGTGGCGCGGCGCACGCTCTGCGCCTTTGCGTTGGCCACCAGGCGGGCGGCGAGCGACGACGAGCCGTGCGAAGAGGCGGCTTGCGCAGCCTTGGCGGCCTGCTGCTGGCGCTGCAGCTTGGCCGCCGCTTCGGCTGCCGCCTGCTCGGGCGATGCGAAGCCAAAGGGACTGGCGAGCGCGACTGGCAGGCCGAGCGATCCCAAGCGGGCGCAAACAGGCCAAAGGGATCGAGGCGACAGGTCAGAGGCGAGGCCACCGGCGCGGACCCTCAGCAATGATTCGACTCACACAGGGCGGCGAGCGAGTAGGCTGCCTTAGGATCCTTTGCCAGCGATCCAATTGACTGGACCGTCTCCTGGAGGCGACCGCGGCCGGCCGGCGCTGACGGCGTGATGCCGTCGTCGACGAGGCGCGCCTCTTGACCTAGCCTCGATTGCGAGTCTGTTGCCGCCATGTTTGCTAGGTGGCCTTCAGAGGGGCTGCGGTATTGAGCAGGCAGATATCGCGAGGAGAGGAAGGAAAGCAAGGGAAGAAAAGGCTCCCCAAGGGGAGTCCGAGGCAGGCAAGCAAGGGTCTTGGCAGGTCAAGGCCGGCCATCCTCCACATCGAATCGGTACGGATCGGGGTCACCCTCGATCGGGTCCGCCGCATTCCGGCTGGCAGGCCCGCCAGGCTTCGAGAAAACCGGCGTCGGCTTCGGAACCCGACCGCCGTACGTGGAATTATTGCCTCTCGCTGCTCTGGCGCCCTGCTGTCAGGCCAGGCCGGTCGGCCGCTGGACGCCGCGATCCCGAAGAGGTTTCAAGAGGCCCGAACCTAGCTTGGCTTGGCCGCCGCGCCTCGCTTGTCGCTCAACCCCAGGCAGGCAGGCAGGCAGGCAGTCAGCTCGATGGCCAGGCCAGGCCTGGCCTCGTACGTGCTGCTGGTGAGGACGGTTCCATGCTGCGAGCCAGCCAGCCGCTGCTTGCTCCGTCGAGGCGCGGGTCGACCCTCTCTTTCAAGCACTCGCCGCCGTTCGGTATCGATCCGCGTCGACCCTCGTTTGGCAGGCAGGCAGGCAGGCAGGCAGGCAGGCAGGCGTGTGATGCGATGGCATGCCAGGCAACGTCGAAGTGCACGTACAACTCGCAAGTCAACCGGCGTCGAGGTGTGAGGCAGAAGCCTGAGCGGACACGCCTGCCTGGTGGCCTGCCTGCCTGCCTTTCCGCCCGATCGCGGCGACCTGGAACTCCGCCGACGTCGAAGACAGGCCAGGCCCTGGCTGGATTTCGCGCGTAAGCTGGCCCGGTCAGCGACAGCCGGGCGGGCGCTTGAAGCCCAGTGGACCCCCTTTTTAGACCCGCCAGGCCAGGCCTGCCAGGCCCGGGGCGGTCTCTGGT